CCAGATACGGACGGCATTCCGCTGGAATATTCCGGTGGTGGAGGTGGCATCATTCCACTACTACGTGGAGGAAGTCCACCGGAGCCACCGTTAAGAAGACCCGAATCCCCAGGTCCTGCACCAAACATTGCATTTTCTGGTGTTGAGCCAGGACCGCCACCACCACCGAAAACAAAATGAGGAGAAGGTCGGGTGTTGTATTCTGGAGGTAAACACGCACCAGCTGAGGAGGCAGGTGGAGTCTGCTGTTGAGGCGGAGGTTGGCCAACGACGTACTGCGGTGGAGTGGGATGATGTGGGTGACCAGGTGGCAAACCACTACCGGAAGGTTGGTGATCTGAAGGCGGGCAGTTGTTCTGAAAATAAAAATAATGAGTGGAAATACACAGACATAGCTCTTAAGCAGACATTTAGCGCACATAACGAGAAGGGACCCTGGTGTTTACCAGGTGGATCGAAATAGTTATGGATGACGGGAGGCAGCCCAACTGTATGAAATTCAAAAAGCTTGGTGAGTGCTCTTCGGAGCGAACAAACGGACCTTCCGGTCAGTGAATTCGCGCTCTAACCACTTGGTCCATCTTGCCTCCTTTTATCATAGGTGACAGCTGAGCGCAGGGTCCGGTCACGCAACTAGGGTTGATTCAACATTCGGCTTGCCCAGCCACCCAAAGATCCTAACACTACCACGGAATCCCGTTCCTCAACCCCGCAGTTTTATTGACCGTCGTTACTTTACGTTAACAGGACAACGGCTTCTTGTGAAGACGGGAAATCTCAAAATAGTACAGGAGATTGGCGGTGATGCCCCAAGAATCGCTTCAATTTCATGGGGACCACAGTTTACGAAATGACTTGCGGGGTTGTGGAGAAAAGCTAGAAACCCGCTAAAATCTGAGTGCAGGGAACCAGCCAGCGTCCTTTCAGCATGTATAGCCTTGAGATGGATCGACCGAGTAGACTGACCAGTGAATATGTCGTTCGCAGACAGTAAACGATTAAAACACAAGACATAAGACCAACGAATTCACCAGATTGGCCTAACAAGATGTCCAGGGTGGGTTGGTAACTCACCTAGAGAGCGTTTTTGTGGAAAATAACATACCGTTTAGTTTCACTGGACGATATTGTCGTAGACCGTCGTCGGGTCGTACAAGAGCAAGAAATTGCCGAGCACATCGTGATAATATGCACAGAATATACTAGCCACTAAATTTCGATGGCCGTGGTCGAGTGTTGTTGGAAAACTCAATCTACCCTTGTCTGATAATCATCAGGTGCCCAAGAGATAAAATCGAAGGACCTGCTATAGAACCTATCATTGCATTCAGGTTGCAGATTATGATGAAGCGAATGATGTCGTCGCGACTGAGGCGTCTCAAGTGGTTCGCTAGAGATATCATCAGCAACGATTAAAACCAATCAGCCATTGGCGTACAACAGTCTGGCGGCTTAGGCTCACCGATGATGCGCTGAAAAAATATTCGAAATGACCTGCGTCTAGCTGGAGATAGTCGAAATAAGTAAACAAGCGTGAATTTTACGACTGTAACTATTGACGGAATGTGTCCCGAAGTGTTGCAGTTACCAAGCCATAATAAAGTATGTGTTGAGGACAAATTCATACAACACTGAGTAACCCGTCCGACGAAAAGCCATATAGAAGGGACATTTCGGATCCCTCTGGAAGAAGTGTTTTTTGGAGTGGTGCCCAGCCTATTGGCGCGTAGTAAATTGCAACACTGTGTGGCCTTGCGGATTTTTCGACTTAGTATCTCCTCATATCGATACACTATGATCCGTACTGAATTCCTCCGATCTCCAGCAAAATTCATGATTGTTATTTCAAAGAATTGATGATCTACTTCAACTTAATTGTGGACTTTCCCCTTTCCACTTTCAAAGCAAAGTCCGCGGAATCTTTAAAGTCCTCGAATTTGTCTGAGTTTCGGTGATTTCGTACTCTAATGCTGACGTCAACTAAGACGGCATTTTCAATACAGTGTGTCGAAGCAAAAGTACCCTACCAAGAGAAGCGTCCTGGGTGAACAATAACCACACAATGATAATCCAAACCTGCATTAAAAATCAGGATGGACCCGAAACACCACTTATTTGTACCCGATTCCTGTCAGTATTCGAAGGACCGAGCCTTTGACTATGATAAGACAAACCATCAGCATAAGATGAATTAAGCCAAGAAACTGCTTCTTTGGTAGCACTAGGGAGAAAAAATTGAGCTCGACATTGTTCACTAGAAAGCCTCAAGTAGTAACAATACCCTCCAAATGGGCAAACTTCTCCCTCTTTGGGGTAAAACAACTTCTCGTGGAACGCGAGGGACAGGCTAACCCGTCCAGAGATGCGAAGTCCTAGAGGAATTCGATATGAATTGGTCCCTCTTAAGGACTACCGCAAAAAACCTTCACGAGCAATCACTCCGTCGGGACGAATTCAGAGGAATGCGGACTGCTACCGAATGAAAAAATAACGCGCTTTTGAAAACTAGCTGAGGAAGTGTGGAAGCCACAATGAAGTTGTGCTTTACTACAGTGGAAGCTGCGAAGTGAGCAGCGAACAAGAGTTTCCAAAACTCGGCACTCTACCGTTGTGACAAATGTCCATTTCCCAGCTGCTTACCTTGCGGCACGGTAGATGTGGTACGTATAAATACGTGACTATGTTTGACGAAATGGCCGACATGAGATCACACTGAAATGAAGGAAAATTCTCAAGACGTAAAGAAATACAACTAACAAACTGGGAACCCTTTTGCAGTTCCCAGAGGGTGCCCTTTATAGAGTGGCTGTAATATCTTGTGGGTGTACACGCTACTGTCCAGCACTACCAACGGACTGCGAAACACCCAGTTATGATGGAAAGAACAGGCCCAACGTCGATTGTCCATTTAGAGTCTACTACTAGGCCCGGGTACCTCACGGGACAATAATGTGGACTTGCATTTGGACAATAAAGTCCCAATCACCACGTGGCCTCTAAAAAATTGGTTGTCTGTCTAGTATTCGAAATCTGTATGCGGATGGCGAATAAGCATACTAGCATAGGCGGTTGGAACCGAGTTTTAAGCAGACATTGTAACATTTCATCCATAATGAAAGACCACTATAAGAAAAACAACACACTTACCTGGCTGTTTATGGGACTAGGAACTGCTAGGTGTTGTGGAGGGACATGTTGGGTGGGAGTACCGGGATGTCCAGGACTCTGAACGATACCTCCACCTCCACCACCACAAGATCCAGGACCAACACTGCCTGGTCCCGCAGATGATACGGAGTTTGGACCTGCTGACCCAGAACAAACAACTGGGGGACCACCACCTTGCTGAGGACCTGGAGGCCCACCTTGTTGCGACTGTTGCTGAGGGGGGATTGACGGGCCCATCCAACGCGGCCGGGGATGTCCAAGCATAGCACCGGGATGATGATGATGTTGAGGAATCATTGGACCACTATGCATCGGATGAATTGGACCACCACCAGGAATCAGGTTTGCATGTGGAGGGATCATACCACCGCCCACCGGAGGCCCTGGGTAACCACCAGCACCAGCTTGGTGGAATCGCATGGATGGATGATGAGGCGAGGGACCCTGGATGCCTGGACCTGCACCAGGTGGGATTCCACCACCAGGCATAAGAGGAGGTCCAGACGGCCGCTGGCGCATAGAAATTGGATCCGGTCCTGGAGGACCTAGCGGCGGTGGCATCCCTGGTCCCCCACCAGGTGGACCACCTACACCACCTGGCCCGGACATGACGGAATGACCCGGCTGAAACACAAATGTTCAAATCAACAGAAAGAAGCGAGACCTAAAGAGAAAGGCAAAACATTTACATACTAAAGACCTGTGGTACAGGTCAGAAGGCTCATTACCAGGAGTCAGAATACAAGCCCTACATGAGTGGATAAATACAAGTCACATGTAACAGGGAATTTAAAGGGGGGCAGATAAATGTCTAAACTTGGTGGACATAGGGATAAAGTGAGCTAATAAAATATTCTCGATAATTAACCGAATGCTCACACTTTTAAGGTGATCACATAGGCAGGTCCAGAACTAGCCCTTTCATGAAGAGACGATGCCGCTGATCAGCGTAGTGTACTCCAGGAGTCACTGATGCTCTGCGATCCATTACAGCCCTAGCTTCCAACATGCTCTTTGCTACTATCCTGCGCAGTCCATCTTCGGGAGTTAGAATTGTAGAAACTAACCCGAATTTCGCCCTAGTCGAGATTATGTCCATTATAGCTTTTTTTCAGTTTACCTGCTTGATTCCGTCGACCACCTGAAACTATGGCAGCGTCTGGCAACGAAGGTCGACCCTTCCAGATTCTCCGCTATATATTGAAGACCTATATCTGCTCCTATAAACATGTACACATCTACAAAAAGCTTTCGCCTGAGCTCACCACATCCACTGGCGTCAAACACGACTGTCCCTTACAGTCCTTCAACCGTGTAATCAGTGTCACTTGGAGCCTCTTTATCTACCGGCAACACGTCCGGGATAGAGATTTTTCGAAGTTCGTTGACAGACGGATTACGTTGACAATACCAACCGTGTTTGATACTACCTCCTAGAAGTACAAACGACCTCAAATAACTAAAATAATTCTGCCGCAAGACAGAGCTTGAGCTTCGCAACCATAGTGCAGTTAGTACAATATTAGCTGGAATCAAATCCAGACCTCACACCTATAGAAGAACCGAATGGTGTTGGACAAATCCGTTAATTGCAATTGAACAGTAATGATCACCGTTGGTTTGTTCGCTGATCTGGGCAATTTGATCGCAAATGTTTCACCACCAGTGCGTTATGATTGGAAGAGCCCAAGTTTCCCAAGCGAAAAGCTTGCTCGAGAGTTGCACACCTGAATAGGTTTGCAGTTGAAAAGAATACTGATAGACCACATTGTCAGGAGAATCACTGTTTTGTTTGCTGATCTGGGTGAGTTGGTTTCAAAAGTTTCATCACCAACTACTTAAATACAGGTCGGCTGAACGTTTGCCAACCTTCGATATTTGTGGCACTGAAATGGTAGCAGCCGAGGATGGAGCGAACGACCTTGTGGTGTCATCTGTCCCACTTAACGGATCTGAAACATGGCCGCTGAGCACAGAACACATCCAAAAATTGTTTGTCATTAACGCCTTGGAAGCCAAAGGACCGTTTTCTTCGGAGGCGTCTTCTGAGCCGAGCAATACGTCAGGTGGAGAAAATCCAACCTGAATTCTGAAGCAAGGCATGAAAACTCCTACCAGCCAACTCAATCGCGTTATTAGCTACCACCTTTTCTGATGGTGAACCGCGTAGAAGACGAAACACAGCTGATGACCCTAACAGATATGACACTGTAACGCGGTCAGTCGGAATCCCGCTTCAAGGCTATCTTGCCTACAAAGCGTATCTCTCTCACTGCAAGCTTTATCGGACAAGGAAATGGTCGGGCGGTCGGTTACCGGATACAGATACATAGGTTCCAAGTTCCCGAGCGGAAAATATTTGTTGGGTTAGACCCATGTGATACCAGACTATTTACCACAAAATGTACTTGGTTAGGGTTCGTCTTACCAGCTGATGCTATAATACAAAGCAGCGGTTCCTTGTCAGAACCCCCATGTTGAACATATTTTGATTTCGACAAATAGACTGTTGCAACTCAATTGAGTTTCCACAAGACTCAACTGAATCTTCCGTTTATGATATTCTTCAAATGAACGCGCTGCACAAAGACCGCCTCATGTTTCCGTTTATGTATTCTTCAAATGAACGCGCTGCACAAAGACCGCCTCATGTTTCAGTTGATGCGATATTTGAGATACCGGAGTCCATTTTTCCATGAAGGAAACTACTGACAGGGTCGCTGAAGAGTTTCCAGCAACCTGGTAAGTGGTTTCCTATATGGACAGAATTCTGATATTGCAATTGTGGATGGAAACAGGAACGCCTAGCCAGACCAAAATAATTGCATTTGCTCAGCTGTAACACCGTTTCAGCGCATAGTTACCATGACATCCGAAAAAAGCGCCTCCCAACGCGCCAAAGATGCAGAGGTTAGTTTCCGCCGACAATAAATAGCTTCCTTCGTATGAACCACGAAAGCAACAGACGCCGAACAGCATGAGAAACTTCAACGGCAACGCACGGTGCAATACGAACTACAGCCTGAAAACTGAAAACATTATCCCCACTGGAAGATACTAATAATCGCTCCGCCGTAGCGATGCCTAGCTGCCACCTTCCCGATGGAAGCACGAGGGCTGGGATACTGCCAGGTTGCCGAAGCCTAGACAGGGGAAGACGAGAGGCAGAGGTCGAGTTCGAATCACGAACCTTCCGGTCAATAAATTCACGTTCTAACCACCTGAGCCATTTCGTTCTTCCCATTGGAAGAACGCTGACCTATTTGCAGCAGACCAGGTATACGATGAACAAGAACCGAAAAGTAAAATGGAGAGTAACCTGCCGAGATGTGAAAACCGGCATCAAAGGGCCGAGAAAAGCCGTACGTCCACCATTTCGTCAACCAAATGCAAGGTTATATACAAATGTCGTACCCTGACTCACAATTTAACCGCTTGACAGAGAAGGGAAACATTTGAATAAATAGTTCACTGAGCCAGGAATGAATGTCCCGAATCCAAAATGATCCCAGCTATACGTTCCAGGAAATTATACCGGAACTGAAGCTGTTCAAACAAACGACCCTACGATCTTAGGGAACGTGACCAAGAATATAGTGTCTGGATAGGACCCATCGACCTTATCAGATGTATCGTAGCAGTAATAAAATGATCACATCTAGGCAACCGATCTTGATCGAAGGTAAGCCTCAACTAGCAGCACGTATATCAACAATCGAAGCACTACAAAATGCACAGCTGGGCCGTCGCTATGCTCCACTCTGCTCCCGAATAATGCACTAACATCACCTTGATTGACGAAACATTTGCAGTCAAACTGCTCAGCCCAGAGAACAAACCAACGACCACTTGCGCAGTGGGCAGGGGGACAACCCATCGGTGAGGTTGGCTCAGCGTAAGGCAGTGGAACAAGTGACACCATGGACGTCACTGGAATCGCATGTGTCGCGTCCGGTAGGCTTCCAGAGTCCGACTTACAGAAGAGAATTCGTGAAGATGCCACGGTATTCAGTTTGACTGTAGTCGAGCTCACTTCACATTGACACTTCGAGGCCCACCTTGCATAAATAATTCACTCACAACGGCTAGGACGGAGCACGCTTTATCGGTAGATGATCGTGAGTGCTGTGTAGTGCGTACCGTTTGTTGCACCATTAAGTTTGACCCATTAATATTCGAAGGAAAACCAAGAAGCGAGCAACTGCGTGGTCGTTGGATCAGGTTAGGATAAAGAGTGTGTAGGGGGTGGCTGAGGAACGGTGAAAGGAGAGATATGGGTTGGTTCGCTGGGGGTAGAACGTAGCTGTTTAATGAGCCCCATGCATGAAAAATCGTTCAGCTGCAACACCATTTCGGTGCCTATCCCCCTCCCCTAAAAGCATTTGTAACAAAATCGCGGCAGCCACAACCACTGTACGACGTATACGCGGTTACTAAAGCTGACAATGATGATGATGCCTAACTACCACGCCAACTGAGGGCTGGGATAGTGCCAGGTTGCCGAAGCCTAGAAAGAGAAAGTCGAGAGGTAGAAGTCGGACTCGAATCACGGACACTCCGGTTAGTAAATTCGCGCCCTAACCACTAAGCCATCTCGCCCCCAAAGCGAGTATCAGAGCATAGATCGTAGTTCAGTGTACTGCTGAAAAGTGAGCCGTCATCAACAACCAAAGACGAGACAACACTGAGCGAACAGGTCACCAAAGACCGACGGCGCGTGAACTTACTAGTTCGCTTTGCACTGACCTCCCAAACGATGAGTCGGTTCTAATACATGCATGAAATGGCATGCACGGAGATCGATATTCTACGGACGTCCCAAGCGCCACGCGACTTTTGATCGCGGGCACATCTGTGGCTTTTCCACAACCATATGCAGACTGCAAGCCAACAGGGCCACTCAGGAGACTGTTTTTCATCACGTAAGGGTGACATGACCAAAAGAAGCAGTCGTGCTTCACAATTAGCGATGCGTCAAGAGATCCTAGCGACTGGGACTACACCGGTAGAGTGTAGGAAAAAGATGAAGCATGATTAGAGCGACTCTCGTGGTACAAGTACGGAGCTAGGAAGGGGTATAACCCAGAAAAGGAGGCTCAGAGACGCTCAGCGACAGCATATGTTGGCGAACAGCCCGTTGGAATGGCAGGATATCGGACTCCGTATTTTTACCTTCCTTGTGACGGGTTCTGAGCCCCACTGGGGTCGACGCGGGGAAAGAGAGAAATCCCGGGGGGTTGTTTTTGCAGGAATCCAGAGTATCGAATTCTAGCAGGTGTGCCAGACAGCTGATCAACCTTGCGACCGATGAACAGTGGCAGTACAGGATGTCCGAGTCTAAAGGACCTTACCATGATGTAAAGGTTTGTGAACCTTCGCGACCCATTGAGCCGTACTAGGTGTCCGCGCGACAATCGCAGTCTCTCATACCGGGTCGGTCAACTGTTAGTCTGATGAACGCAGTCTCCTGGCTCTCCAGGTTGGGGGTTGGAATACGTTCCATAGAAGTGGTAATGCATTTGCATTTCCCTCCAAACACCTCTGCCTGATGGTTAGGCTTTTGAGCCAGAGGCTTCGGCTGAGGATCCTAATCATACTCTTGTCTATGTGTGGGCGCCTGACAGTATCCTAACCCACGTACAGTAATGAACTGCGCATATATAAATAAACTCATGCCAGTGGCCCTGGCGTGGTGCCATCAGCCGGGTGGCCTTACATGATGCATACAGCAGAGTGGGTAAGAAAAAACAGGTCACTTTTGGCGCCTCCCTTCTTCCTCATTCACATATTTTTCTCTTCTGACCTGTACCAACCCCATTAATAACCCTCCCCTTGAGGGCCCAGCACTTAGGACTAATGACTCCGTTTGTCTTGCATCGGTTTTGCAGATATCTGCGCGTCATCCGGCGTCGACATCCTCAGATGTCTCGAAAATAATCCCCAAGCCTCGACGCACAGTCTATCTGGCCGCCTCCAATGTTCACACCATGAAACAAACAAGACAACAAGCTGCTCTTGCTCTAACACTGGAATTACTTGGCACTGATGCGTACTTTGTCTCAGAAACAAGAACTCAATATGCAAGCAGTGGTTGAGCTAACCGCCCGACCACTCTCCACTCGTTCCCAACTACGTAACTCTGGTGCTCCAAAGGCTGCTCCGGTAGGCCGTATATATCTGAATCACAAGGGACACGTGTATCAGACCATGGTGCCGACTGTTTTGTTGTATAACTGAGACTTGGCCTCTTCGAGCAGCGGAACTGAGACGTCTTCAGGTGTTCGAAAATCGTTGCCTCAGGACTATCGCCAATGCAAATCTGTGTCGGAGAATTCCTAACGAGGTAGTGGAAGAGCTAGTATCCGATGTTTAAATGGCTTACGACGAAAAACTTGTCAGTCTGGAATGAGCAGACGACATCGAAGAGAAGGCGCATGTGTTTAAATGAACTGACCAAATTCATCCCGTCCTTTGGTATGCGCTGATCGGGAGATCTGATGGGGGCAAAGGAGTGAGGTCAGGGTGTATACAAAGCCATTCAGCTTCAGTGTAATTTGTTTGACGCCATAAATTACTCAAGTCGGAAAAACTTGCGTGCATTGCCTTCGTCCGCCAAAGCAGCAACACCGTTTATACAAATACCGAAAAATTCGAGTCATTCAACGGATTCCAGTCCTCTTGGAAGCCAGGGTCAAAAAGGATGAGAAGTCCTGAATTGGAAATCTGTATTTGAAGGTGAGTCATTCAATTCCAGTCCTCTTGGAAGCCAGGGTCAAAAAGGGTGAGAAGTCCTGAATTGGAAATCTGTATTTGAAGGTGCCAAACGTACGTAAATGGAATAGAATCCCCTTCGACATCATGTTTATAATAACCCTTGCGGTCGTCAAGAGACAAACCAATGGCTTTCTCATAATCCAAGACCATTTTTCTCCCTTGTAACTTGATTTCGATGCTACCACTAGTGATCGTTTGGTGTGCCCCCGGGTAACATCGACAAATGAACTCCCAAGCAAAACCTGCCACCCTCAGGCGGTGGTCGGGCTTGAGTATGGAAAGATACTCGAGTCACATTGGCCGAAACAAGGTAAATCAACCGAAGACAGCGAACTTTGCTGAAATGAATTCCAGTAAACTCTTATCTCTGCGCCGTCCGGCAAGCAAGCCCACTCAAGCCGTGTCACCCGGGATAGCGAGCGGGCGCGTTTGTAATGTCAGCCTCCGTTCCAAAGGACTGTAGTTCTTACGCTCACGGCACTGTCCCTCGGGATTTATTTCAACCGACTCATCAAACGCCACTGACATGAACATATAAGTCTGCCATTTGAACTCTTTCGAATCGAACCTGGAAGGTCGGTTTGGAGTTGATGTCCACTGCACGCAACGAAGAACGATTCCTGCAGATGTGCGCTGTCCACCAACTGTTTACGGCCAGCAGCAATCCTTGATACGAACGTCCGCATCATGCAGTGCAGAAGTTTACTGTCACTGCTGAGCTATGCTAGCGGAAGCAACCTACATGAGTAAGGGTGACCAAGTACATCTAGTCCTCGGGTACTGTGAAGTTGGCCCGCGCGACACCAGAGGCCCGAAATTCTCTGGACGATGCGGATTGAGCAACAGAGCCTGTATTTCCCCGTGACTCAACCTATGCCAAATTTGGAAATAGAACTTCGTGGCTGACTCCATATTTCGATGGCCAGACTCGAGGGACTCACCGAAAACTCCTCAAAGCTCGTTCTCACCAAGCAGGACAGCTATTCAGCTGGATTCAGTTAAGTCAAACGACGAATCTGTAAGTATATTGACCGCTCAGCTGTAAAACGCGGGCATCTACGGATGGCAACGTCCGTTTCTCCAGCCATCGTAGTGGAGTGTCTGTCATCATCCAATGTGGGTTGTCGGTGAGATGATTAGGGGGTAATGTAGGTTGGTCCAGTCTAGAAAACCCTACGTTTCATTTCATTCGGGTTTAATACTAGGCCCATGGAAGTAAAATGGGGAGAATGAGGAGGGCTAAAATCACCGGGGGATGGCAACCAAAAACTCACATGCGGGAGCCCATTGGGATAGCCGGAATTCACGAAGCCCTGAAGCGCAAAATTACTCTGCTGCTTTAAGCTAGTACTTACGTAATCATGGAAAGCCTTTGCCTCGCTCGAGTGCTCGTGTGTATCCCGTCGCTCTGGAGCTGCGCTGTAAAGGTCCCAGAAAACGCTAAACGAAGGTCGTTACTATCACAATGAACTCACTTCCACCATGAGTGCAGAAAGCCTGGGGGTTCACCGACACTGATGGACTTATCCCAACGTATCTACACGAGGTTAACAAATAAGTGTTTCTTTTACTTCTTGTAAAAATGATGTGGCTGTTTTTTGTGCACCAATATGGACCAGATACTCATAAACATAAAATGCGAGCCTACAAGAAAGTGGGATGACAGGCTGGTTAGCACTACACCGACTTCTCTTTGGATTGTGCATCAGATGGGACGCCTGCTCCCTTTGACTTGGTATACATTTCAGTTAAACTTGCAAGAGAGCTTCATCACTTCGGACCGTCAAACTTGCCGGAGAGTAAAGAGGTAAAAACACACCATCGGGGACGTACAAAATTTGACCCTGAAAAGTTTCGAGCTTGATTTAAACAAACGCTTTTTTGGTCAGACTACAGACCAAAGATGAACGTGTAGTGTTCGAGGACTCAGAAGGTTTGCAGATGAGTGTCAATCTGGTGGGTTAAAATTTCAGATGGGCGCAGAGTGAACTGAAATCTCAACATTATCATCCGAGCCTAATCGTCTCTTAGCGCGGGTCTTTTATATTCCGTATACGGCCGGAGTGGCCGCTGACTATATTCACGGATTCATGGATTGATACACAGGATCGAGGCTTTTGCCCGATTTTAACGGGTCGGATTTGTTCTTGTCGTCCAGCGGCTGTCGGTCACCTGAAAGGCGCAAGTGGAAAAAAGTGTGTAGTACTGCTCTTTATGTTCCCAGTGCGGGGCAGTATACCTGCCAACGCGAGGATCCGCACAAATAAATGTCTAGTAGTGCTTCGACCTGGGTCCTATAAGGAGCGTGGACAACCGTCGGAGGGCGCTCATTTGCACGCAGCCACTACCCGAAATGAGAAAAAATTTTGCCTAATGAATGTGTGCGCTCTGAGCTTGAAAATCTTCTTACCATGTCCCCGCCGTGTGTTTCCTGGGTCAACGGTGAAAAATCTGTTGGCCGAGCTTTGTTCAAACGGCATAGGTGAGAATTAGGTCCCCTCGGAGGCGACGATACTCCAGAGGAAAGAGATAAAGCATCGCGAGATGGGTTTTGTAGCCCGCGGATTTAAGCCGACAACAATTTTCGTAGCGGCTGGCTGGACACGCCCAATGAGGGTGACGTCTTTCGCGCTTCCTGAGTAGACAACTTGGTTGACGTGTTCCAGGAGCGGTCTGACGTAGCCCCGCGAGTGATACGGGGGAAGGTGCGTCGGATCTTCCGAAAAATGGCGAATGCCTTTTGAGCCGATTTCTCATGTTGCAGTGAGAAGGACAAGTTTGAGGAGACCCAGATACCCAAATCATTTTTGCGTCTATCCTAATGGTGTTTTCCGGTCCTTTCTCACCATGCATGACAAAGGCATTCGCTGAGTCTCCTCCAAATGACATATGGACGCACTTTCTGTCACTCAGAGGAAAGTGCCAGTCCAATGACCATCCGTTGGGAAGGCATTAGCACTGGAACTCCAGGATTTCAAGTCATCCGCAGAAGGTAGACATGGACTTGCAAGAACATCTGGAAGGTCGTTGACGTAGATCAGAAACAGCAGTGGTCCCAGGACGGAGCCTTGAGGAATCCCAGTGGAGACCAGCGCTGGAGACGAGTAGGTCGAGCCTATTCTCTCTCACCCTTATCTGTCTGATGAGAACGCCTTGATCCGGTGAAGGATTTCCCCTTGAATCCCGTAAGACTCGAGTTTGTGGAGCAGCGGGACGTGTGGAAATCTATCAAATGCTTTTGAGAAGTCGAAAAATATAGCATCCGATATGAGTCCTTCGTCCCTGGCTTATGTCAAGCTGTCCATAAACACGAGCATGTTTGTCACACAAGAACGGTTTGGGAGAAATCCGTGTTGAGCTGGAGATATCAGATTGCTGGAGGAACGGTTTCGGAGAAACTCGTGTCGAGCTGGAGATATCAGGCTGCTGGAGGTAGGGCGCTCTAGGATAGCTCGCTTCAGAGTGCGTTCCACTCAACTTATTTTCGCTGAAACTATGGGGTTTACCAAGTTGTGTTTTCAACGGGGAGTTAGCCTGATCTGTCTGCACCTTTCGGTGATACTTCGCTCACAGCACTTTGTTTAACTGAGGAAATTTCAAGGTCACAGGCTATCAACGGTTCGCATTTTCACCGGTTTACGAGAGGTAGAAAACGAAACCGCACTTAAGTTTATTTTGGCCCGCTGACGTCCTTGAGGAACGAAATAACATTTGCGGAATATTCGGTGCAAATTCCACTCAGGAAAATTGGTCACTCACTCCTTTGCCCCCATCAGATCTCGCGATTTGTTTTATCACACTTAACTTCGGCTATTCCTCACTTCCCCAGATCGTTCTATTCGCCTGCCGATTGAAACCCTATGATCAATATCTAAACTTTTACCTCGAATTGATGCCCCCAGCAACCGTACGACTTTATTCGTAAATCAACGGGTCGCTTTCCCATTTATTTTTGAGACTACCAATGTTGAATTTTGTGGTGAGGGCGGTGCATCTCGAAATTGTTTGCGGGTTGTGCATCACATTTCCAAGACAAACATTCTGTGGAACTTTTGAAAACGTCTTTTGCTGCCATCGGACTCAGCTTTAATATTATTTACTCACTTGAGGCACAATATTATTTTCGTACGTGACGTTAAGCTGAGAATTTTCTGACACTTTGACACTCTAGAGTTTTATTGGCACTGCACTCAGATGCCCCTAGTGGTCTCGTCCCATGTTTTCCTAATTTTTTGCCTACATCTATGGCCATTAGAGCTCGTGTTTTGACCGCAGTCTCCACTTAGTTTCTGATTTCCATTCACTTGAGATTTAACTGGCCAAATGCTGTCCGTAAATAGGAATAGGCCGGACCCCGAATACCGATTACTATGGATGATTTATAGAATTCTGGCCTCAAAATGCACATTGAACTCCTAGCCGGTTCGTTCATTGCATGGGCATTTGGTTATTTGGAAACCGTAACTATCCGGCGCAGTTAAGGAGGAAACTTTTATATCATTTCAGTTTATACTCACACAAAGCTTCTTTCAGGAAATCCATTTTGTCCTCTCGCCCTTCCAATTTTTTATCGCAAGGACGGAAATGTTGCGCCACCAGCTACTTTCGACAAGTGTTTTGCGTTTTGGTCTGCTATGTACATTCCTCAGACTTTCCAGCTGAATTGTCACTTAGCATTATCTGATGCCATTTATACGACCCTTATAACGACCCGTCTACTCTGGCATATAATGCACTGGTCATGGGTCTTGCATTGTGTCTTGATGACGACACTGAAGTCGCGGTCCGCTACTGTTTGCACTAACACCCGCTCGTGACACGTACACTCTTACTGATTAGCCACGCACTGCTTTCGTACATATCTGATAGTTCTTTAATATGTAGTAACCCTCCGCTGGATCGCAGACCTCCAATTTTCCTGTGTTTACGCAATTTACCTGGACTTCGAACATCTTAGGGAAACGTTATTTACACCCGTTCCGTTAACTGTACGTCTGCCTCAATAGATGATCGCTCCTTGTTGCGTAAACTGTATTGCAGCCAGGTTTATTATACTCTGGCTGACCATAATCGCCTTATCTACTGCTAACATGTGACCCAGTAGTAGTAAACCAGACGTCCTCAGATTTTGGACACATTAGATGGCGTCCTAATCGATATGCTCGCTGCAAACGATATGGGCTCAGCCGACTTCTGGTCTATCTACGCCCCACCCTTGGGTGATTGTAGTTGCTCGAGTTAACACGCGCAGACCACCATTTGCGTGTTTTCTGTATCAAGAATCAACCATACCTCAAAATTCCTTATATATGCTTCACCAACCGAGAGTTCCTTGTAGAGATAACGCATGCGTCTGCAAAGGCTAACTTTGAAGGCCGCTCCTAACTCGTCTGCTCCGTTAGAAACATCCATAACTTCAACATAATAATCTTTATTCACAACTCATGGGTGACATACCGTCTGGCGTGATCATATTTTTAGGGTCTGAATTAAGCATAACTGGGGGATTTGTGGGGGTGCGGATTGCACGAAAAGAGGACAATGTCACAAACAGTTAGGAATATCTGGCGAAATAGTAATGATAGGTTTCTTCCCCGATTCGTTGGGAACAATGGGCATGGGATCCGACTAGTTCAAAGACACCCAAGTGACGTGAACTAAAACTGTAAACCACTGCTAGCTATGAGTGACCTTGGGCGGTTTAGGTAAATGACCGGAGTCACAAAGAGCAAAAGTGGAAAAGGAGGTGGAATAATTCAAATTGGGTGAACATGGCAAGTTTTGCCTCAAAAAATGTGGTCTAATTTGAAACTAAGCAGACTCACCGGTTACACTGTTGTAGGAAAGTCAGGTGCAGGGGGTAGGTTGGATAAAGGCAAGTTGCTAATACATAGAGCTACGCGAACACTGTATACAGATTTGAAATTGTGGAGAAGGCAAGCCAAAATTGCAGCATAAAACCAGGGGTACGAATGAACTCGTCCCAGAGACGGGATCGGATGAAAAATCTCGAAGGGGATGACAGGAAACTAAATGAACCCAAGAAAGTTAAATACGTCTGCTGATCTACGAACCAAGTCCTTGTTTGGCCAGAGTAGGTGCTAGAGTATGACAGCTCCATACTATCATTGCACTGACATGCTTTGGTTAATTTACAGCCCCATAACTGTCGTCAAGGCTGCCGCGATCGGAGAAGGGATACGCAGTTCCGTGGCAGCTGGCTCTGAAGTGGCGGAGTTTGACACAGACAGTCAGGCGGATGCAGGCTCACGGATAATTTCCTTTTCGTTGAAGGACCGTTCAAAGTTAGACAGGTTGTAGGTCCGTTTCAATGAATAACCGTTCTACGGGGCGTTTGGGCAACTGTTTTCGAAGGTTGAAGCTTGGGAAGAGGCAACGGGAAAGAAATAGGATGAAAGCAGTAACGTGCGGCGAACACTGTATACAGATTTGAAATTGTGGAGAAGGCAAGCCAAAATTGCAGCATAAAACTAGGGGTACGAATGAACTCCTCCCAGAGACGGGATCGGATGAAAAATCTCGAAGGGGATGACAGGAAACTAAATGAACCCAAGAAAGTTAAATACGTCTGCTGATCTACGAACCAAGTCCTTCTTTGGCCAGAGTAGGTGCCTAGTTTTAGGAATGTGAGAACTTTATCGTCGAGGTAGCAACAGGGAGGCTAGCTGTTGACAAGTTGGGAATATACATTATTATTATTAACGAGCGGTAGTTATTGGCTC